ATGGTGACAAAATGTGACCCACTACTATAATCTAAAAAAATATGTATGAAAAAACTAGCTCTGCGGGGTTGCATTAAGAAGGCAATAGTATATCAGCGCAATGTGTTTTCTGTCTGAACTGTACTGTTATCCCATTTGGTGAGTAACCCCCAATCTATAAAGACCCACACCTCGCACAATTTTGATACAACACACGAATCTATATAAGATTTGATGTCAGCGGTTGTGATATCGGTAGCGAAGACGTTACCGAAAAAGTTTTCAAAGTCAGTGAGCATCTATTTCCTCTCCCAGTATCCGTCTTTGTGTCGCAGTTGGGCTTCACCATAGACACCTTTTTCGGGGTTTGGGGGGGGGGGGATTTCTCGTGCGGATCAGAGCGGCCGTGAGCCTTTTGTTTAGAAACGGAGGAGTCAAACAAAGTTTCCCTAGTTAGCATGAGAAGATGCGCTGTTGCCCCCCCCCCAGCGCTGGAATTCTTTTATTGGAGGGGCTAAAAAAGCCCGGTGGGGACGAGTGATCGCTGAGTGGGAGCATCACTTGAGCACTTTGAGGAATACTTTGGGCAAAATTGAAAATCAGCAGCTGTGGTCTTCTTAAGTTGAGTCCATTACCCTTCCGACGGGGAACCATTTCCACAGCAGAACCGCAGCTCTGTGTTCCGCTGACGTTGTGCCGCTCGATGCTTCCGGTACATTTGGAAATAGTGATATTGGTAAACTAACGACCTACGGATTGCTTTCCCTCGTCAAATGTTTGAAAGCAGATTAGGTGCGGAGCCTGCGTTGCCTTCGTTGCTGCTTTGCTATGTTTCTTACGCAAAGCGTGAAACCGTCGGCCCCACGTGCACGTGCGTCCTTGTGCACGTACACAACACACTAGCAAATTGAAGAGCCCCCTTACAAGGATCGCTGCGGTCTTTCATTCACTCATTTCATTAATGAAACACGTTATTATTGCCGTTATCGGGGATTATCTTGACCGCTGTAACCCGGAGACTGTTGCTGCTTTCTCCCAGCAGGAGGAAGCGACCACGCAGCCGCTGAACCTCTCAGCCAGAACCAAGCAGGCGGAGCCTCTCCGCTCCCCGACTTCCCGGACGCACGGCCCGTATTCCGGCAGCAAGTCCAGCCCGACCGGCGGGGGCAAGGGCCGCATCCCCAGCCCCATGGCCCACGTGAGCAGGAACCCCTTTCGGGGTAGGTACCAAAACGCCGACCCCTTTACCCCCTTTATCAATACCTTGATATTGGTTTTTCCCAATGACGTGGTCTGGAAAACCCGGGGAAGCAGTTGTACACAATGTTTGCAATCAGACATGTGCGTGTTGTTCGCACGGGTCCTGTGAATGCATCCAGAGAGACACGTGTCTTCCCTTCATCCGGGAAAACAAAAACAGCAGCCGCCCAAACACCCCCGCCCGCCCGCCCCCCCCCCCCCCCGCCACACCACACACAGACAAGCCGAGCAGCGCCGCATCCGATAGACTGCAGACACCCCAACCCCACTAGAGACCGGTGTGCGTACTTCTGTGTGTGCGTGTGTGTTTTACAGGAGTCCAAAGGCCTGTATTTAGCCCCAATGAAAACCCCAGCAGCGGAAACAGTGAAACCCAGCACACGTTATTTGTTTTTTAAGAGCTTCCTCACATCATTGTCTGCCCGCGCTAGACCTTTTATGCCCCTACCTCTGCTATCTGTTATTAAGGCCAATCTAAACCCTCTCATTATACACCCCCCCCCACACACACTAGAAAACAATTTTGCCCGCTCTTCTGGAGTGGCTTTGAGGACGCGACGCTTGTGTTCCCTGCAAAGTTATTTTTTGCCCGTTTTAACGGCCACCCAAGCATTCAGCGCTTCCCACTCGTCTGCTAATTTAACAAGGAGGGCGACGGAAACTTTGCATGCTTTTATTTATTTTCTTAGTTCTTCAAATGTGCATCGGCTTCAAAAGTGTGAAACGGGGCACAAAAACAAGGAGGGGGGGGGGGGGGGGGGGGATACAATTTTTCCCCCACCCAAACTGAAGCAACTTTTATTTGGGAAGAATCCCTTTAAGAAAAAAAAATTGTCTTTTTTAAAAAAAAAACAAAAAGAAAGCCGGCCTCTTTTTTTAAAAACCACGCCCTCTTTGTCCTCCCCGCGCCCAAAAGGAACGACCGTTGTTCCTCTGTCCCCTCCCTAAAAACATCCTGTCCCACCTCAATTCACAGGGGCTCTTTTGGGGACCAGCACCCCCTGTTTGAGGCCCTCCGGGAGGGCGCGAGAATTAGGGAACAGATCACGAGGGAGCAGCTCCACCACCAGCAGCACCCGCAGCACCCGGGGCATCACAGCCTGGAGGCCAAGCTGTCCGCCCTCAGCAGCATGAGCCTCAGCAACGGCAACAAGGTGAGCGGGACGGACGGACCACGTGAGGACACACCGACAACAGTCGGTGCAGTAAAAGGCCGTTTTCTCACATAACGTGCACACACACAAACTGCACAGTTCATGTGACACCACCAACAGGAAACGTGGGCTGTGAAGTTGTACAATTTCTGTTTAATCCAACTTGTTTTTTCTATAGTTACTGGATTCTATCTACAAACTATATGATCTATATCAGTGGTCCCCAACCTTTTTTACCTCACGGACCGTTTTCATGTCAGACAACGTACATAATTAGGAGAAAATCCGGTCAATTTTCAAAATAATTTTTTTTTCAAAAAAATAATATATATAAGCTTTCTGTGGTGCGGCCCGGTACCAAACGGCCCACGGACCGGTACCGGTCCACGGCCCGGTGGTTGGGGACCACTGATCTATATGACTCAGCTCAATTGAGATTTTGGTCTAAAGCTTTATCCACTTTCAGACCAGTAGAAATAAAACAACAACCACGTTTAGTGGTTTATTTTTACGTCTGATTACTCAACACATTGAAACTTCAGAAAATTGTCATTAATTAACTTGGAGCGTTTTGTTGTGATATCTCTTTTAACAATTTAGATGCGTTTTCGCCTCTATTGTCTTTACAATCTGTTTACATTATTTTATCAGAAATGGAGCAATACACTGAGAGATATCCAAAATGATCTCAGTAAAAACCTTTGTCTTAAATTTTTAACATAATGAAACAGGAATTTTGATACAATGACCAGGTTTATGTTGTGGAAATGCACGCAAATTACCACATATTCCATAAGACTACATCATTTTCATTTTCAAACATGCATTATTAGAAAACTGGTGATAAAAAAAGAAATTCCAAATCCATTAAAGAAATTCAGCTCTGTATTGAATCACCCCGTCCCGTACAGTTGGGCTAGGGTCGGGTCTTTTGCATACAAAGGCAAACCTTTGAATTACACAAGTATCACCACTTTCGTTTCCTGTAAACTCAGCAGCAGGAACCTGGAAAATAGGAGGATCCACATTCCTTTCTTTCCGTTGATCTTTATTCGGCCATCACAACAACCCCTCTTTCCTGAGAGATTGGAGCTCAGCGCCTGTCGAGTACTGCGGGTTGATATTCGGTGCTGTTCGGCGCGGGCGGCGGCTCTGCAGTGCTTCTCTTTTCCCTTCTCATCTCCGCGGCCACCCAAAAGCCAAGAGCTTTGAAGACGCAGCAGCTGGGCCAATGACAAGTGATGGTTTTGGCGTTTGAGCGTGCGTGTGTGTGTGTGTGTGTGGGGGGGGGGGGGTTGGTGTTAACATTAGAGTGTGGGTGTGTACTCGTGTGTGTGTATAATGGAGTCCAGCTCCCCACTTGCCCTGAAGGGGGGGGGGGTCCCGGCCTCGGGGTTTTAGCCCAATTAAAGGGCCTTTCTCTGGGAAGGGGACCCCCCTTCCGCTCATCCCTCCCGCTCAGGGGGACGGGGTCTTTGTACCAGGATATCATATCCAGCGGGACGTCCGTATTCCAAAACATCTTCAGTCGGTGTGATCAGCTGAAGATGATGAGACTCTCCTGCGCAATTGATCCCGTGTTGCTGGCGAGGAGGAGGAGGAGGAGAGGAACTCATGAATATTTTAGGGGTGGAGACTTTGAACCCAGCCAGCCCCCAAGTAGGTCATGATTGGTGCACTCCAAGGAGAGGCTGTTTTGAATTGTTTTGGACGTGTTTGCCTCGACTCTTCCTGAGGAAAACATCCAAAATGTATGAAAATATATCTCTGCTGTACTTAGCGTCAGTCCCAAGTTGATTTTTTGTTTTTTGAAGGCGTTATGCTGGTAAACACTGAGAAACTCATAATTATAAATTATACAACAGCCTTTACTAATAAATTGTTTATTAAGACTCGGTTTGAGTTGTCTGGCAAAATAATCCCACAAATATTCACAAATATATTTGCTACAAGTTATCTCTGAAAGTGCAACGCGGCCATGCAACGCTTTGCAGTGCAACGCGGCCATGCAACCATGCAACGCGGCCATGCAACGCTTTGCAGTGCAACGCGGCCATGCAACCATGCAACGCGGCCTGTGCAACGCGGCCATGCAACCATGCAACGCTTTGCAGTGCAACGCGGCCATGCAACCATGCAACGCGGCGAGGAGCCCGGTGCGCTTCCCAAGCGCTTTCATTTCCAACTTTAAAGGAACAAAACCAAAGCAATGCAGTAATTTGGTTTATAGCTCAATGTGTCCTAATAAAAAGCTCATTTGGAAAGTCTCAAAGTAATTGTTTTCCGGTTGGTGTTTGATATTCTTTACCCAACAACAGCGTCTCTTAGCTTATATAATACATATAATACATCATTTCTTCTCGTAGACAGAGATTTTCATTTTTTTCTCTCTTTCTAAAGCCCTCAAAGGCTTTGCTCTGTCTCAAACAATTCATGGATGGAACTTGCTGGATACTGGGAGAGTGAGTCAGCCGCTCCACCAGACCGGCTCTCTCTCTTTACCTTGGATTTGTGTGTTGTTTTCTGTCCCTCAAATACATTTTGTTACACAAGAGACTTTGAAGCGTCAGCCAAGTGTTTCTACTTGACGACATTGAACTAACACGCCGCATTGGGCGTCTTTGAGGGGAACGAGACAACTGCTGTTCATCGCGCCCCGGCGTTGTGCAGAACGTTGCGGTATTTATCGGGTTGTCGCGGTGACGTCCGAGTGGGTTCATTTCGCTTTCTGTTGGGGTATTTTTGGGCCTCGTCTTTCATTTCAAGGAACAGACGACACAGACGTTTCCCTAAGAGCTGAAAGTGATCCCAGGCTCCTTTGTGTGTGTGTGTCCTGGCTGTGCGCTGGCCATGTTAATGTCATTATAGCTGGTGTACAGACGAGAGGCCGGGCCAGTTAGCAGCATTGTCGAGTATCACCTTACGCTTGCGTTGCTTCCAGCTGGCCTGCGGCTGCCAAAAGCTCACTGAAATAGCCGCCGTGTATGACTGTGTGGGTGTGTGCGTTTTCTTATTTTATCTAAACAGCCACAAAACACTCCCTGAAGCCACTTCAAAGAAGATTTTGATTAGTCAGCTGATGGAAATCAACCTCTTGTCTCCGGTAGTTTGCTCCAACTAATGAGTATATGGAGTCATCACACGTGGAAGCGTCGCAGCTCTGTCGAGTTTCAATGAAAGTCTTTCCAAGGGACATCAGGTAAATCTACATCTACAAACCTTTTTCTTTCTTTCTTCGCCTGAGATGCGAATCTGAAGTTGTAGATGTTGAATAATGAGGACAGATGGATGTTTTTGGTGTCTCTGCTCATATAATTAACGGGTGAAGTTGACTGATGCCGAATTTTTGCAGTTTTGAAATGAACCAGATCTCTCAATCAGAGTATTTAAATGAACGATGTGGAGGGACGTATTTTGTTTGTTGAATAGTTGAACGGTGCGTTTTCTGTCGGTGGAGCGGAGTAAGCCTTCAGGGGGGGGGGGGGGGGGGTTGTTCCGAAACTCGCATTAACTCTGCTGGTGAGTTTGGTCCCCCGGAAGCGAGCCGAAACGACAGCTCAAAAGGCTCCCGGGCTTGATTAAAGGTCACTGTAATGGTGCTGCCTCTCTAAGCCTGAATGACACACATTATGATAATGTTCCCTACGAAGCTCAGCACTGGCACCTGCAAATAGACTGCTGAGTGTCTACTTCTTTGGGGTCCGAGCCTCTGGGGCTGCTGCTGGTGTTGAGGGCCTGATGGACAGCTCTATCGGCACGCGGCGTCGCCTGAGGGAGGAACGAGCAAGACAGTAGGAATAGAGGGAACAATGGCACGAGGTGGGCCGAGGAGGTGGAGGAGACGTAAACGGTCAGCTGCAGGCCGTCCGTGGGCCCCTGAAGAGTCGGGTGCCTCTTAAAGGAACAAATGTGCATTCACCAGCGACGCTGTCAGGTCGTTTTTCCCTCCCTTCTCTTTTTGGTTAATTTAGTCATGGATGCGTTAACTTGTCTGCTTTGAGCCGCGACTCTTTTCGCTCCGATTCCCGCTTGCGTTAAATAGTAAAGTACAATACGTGACGGGTGTGTTTCACTGTCTGAAAGCCGTTCAAGATACACAAACAAGTCGGTCCTGAAACACTGTGCCTGCGCTTCAATGCAACTGGCTAAACAACGGGATTACAAAGCCTCGACTGTTTTTAACCAGTGAATCTGCTGCGGAGACAAAAGCTTTCCGAGGAGCACAATCCAATCATGTACACAATGCGGAATCATGAAAGAGCATTTGAAATAGTCTATAATGCCGCTCCAAAGGGCAGCGGTCCAGTACGAAAGCAGCCAAAGCCTTTTCAACTTGACTAAACAAAGTAAAGACAGCTCCTTATTGCATTCGCCACAAGAACTTTCAAGCAGACCAAAAGTAGACCAACCGCATGGAATATTTGCACATTTTGACCCAGGTCTGCTGTTAATCTGCCTTTTGGATCAGCTCTATTGGTGCTGTCCTATTGCATTTTCCGCAACCCAAACTCTACCGTGCATTCGTTTTCCATCGTCTGTCTCTAACTGTACTTAAGCTACGCGCTGCGTTGCATCTTACGGAGCAAAACCGTAATGTACAGCATCTTTAGCATCCGTCTTCTAGGATTCATCACCCACCATCGATCCGCTCTAACACGCTGTCGTTTTAGCGCCACGAGGGGCTCCAGCCCTTCTCCTTGTCTCGGGTCCAGTTTTCCACTCCTGTCTGCTTCTCTCTTTACATCTCCCTCTCTCCCTTTTCTTCAGTCCTTTGTTAGGCGCTTGCTTCCTGCGGTGAGCATGGCACTGCCCAGGCACATGTTCTGTGGCGGGCCTGATTACAGCCCTGCCGTAGTGCTGACATTGGCCCGCGTGGACTCTTCATCTATAAACACACACACACACACACACACACACACACACGTATGTATGTACACATGCACGCCGGCCTCTAAGTTCCACCGGCTGTGCCAGCGGCTACCGCGGCATGACTTCACCCGGCAACCATTCCTTGCGTCAAACAAAATGCCTCTGTCACCAGAAAAAGGAGGAGAGCCGAGAGGGGGGGAGGGTGAGGGGGGTGGGGGGGGTGGGGGGATGAGAGAGGAGAGGAGCGTCGATGTGCGGTAGCTGTGCGGAGGGTTCGATGTTTTCCACCACAGTTTGGTAGCGTAATTTTAGCTGCAGGGCCTCGAGGCGGGCCGCTCGTGGAAGTCATTTGTCTCAGAAGTGGAGCGGCAGGCAGAGAGAGCGCGGTGATGGGAGGCCGGTGTTGATCCGACGGGCCCGCGAGGGGCCTTGAGTGTGCTTTTGGCGCGATTGGCGACTCGCAACCCTCAGATACTGTAAATAAAGGTTACGATGCCGTATTGTGACGTTCGACCCAATCTAAAAGACGCCGGGCCCACGGAGCACACTTGACTCACACATCAGATAGTAGCAAATGAAACGGGGTTGAAACTTCGGCATCATCTTCATTCACAACTTGCTTTCAAATAACCGGTCAGATGGGGTTTTTTTGCAGGAGCGGCTGCACTACGAGACGCTGAGCCAGCACCTGGGGAGGCTCGGGGAGGACGCTGGGAAGATGGTGCATCGAGTCATCGACCTGACGAGACCAGAAGACCTGGACGGTAGGCAACACATGTAGAAAAGACCCGTTAGAAAATGGTGGAGTCTGGAGGGGAATCCAAGGCAGGAGATCTTTGAGAAGTCTCGGTTAGAAGCAGTCACATCCTGTGCACACTGAATTGTTACCAGTGACCCTTAACTCGCTGGGCCCCCCCGACAGAAGAGGCCCCACTTCTGCTGTTCTGCTGCAAAGAAGAAAGCATCTTCCAGACAGCCAGAACACACAGGTATTCAGGGAACACAAATATTTATTGTGCTCCCCGGGATGCTTGGATGAAGGACACCCTCAACAACTAAACAGAGCGAGCAATGTCAACATTTTATGCTCTTGAACAATTTCACACTGTTAATTCACCGCACATACAAGGGGCCGAATTCTCCGCCTTTTTTTCCGCGACGAGTGTTTGCGACACGAGATCCCACCCGGTGCGAGTATGCAAACAAGAGCCGGCGCTCTGAGTGCATTAATGCTCAGGACAGTTTTACGATTCTACTACGAATGATGGAAAGTCATTTTTGGCTGCGTTGTACATGCAGTTACTCGTTTCTGGTGCATTCAAAATACCATCTCTGAATTCCGTCTAAAGACACTGACCCACCTGTTACTCATAAAAAGCCTCTGTTTACAGACAATGAGGAGTGCTCATTGTGGTTTACTTTAGAAGCGGAGCACTAAACACAGCAGCGTAGGACCTGAGATACTATCCGACGGAAGCAGACTAGCGACGGTCCGTTCAGCCCGTGTGTGTTTGTGCGAGCAGGTTGAGGGCATCGCAGCAAGAGCCCCGTCACACTTTTGTTACACTCATGTTATACATCCTCTCCCAAGGATCAAGGGCTGACGAAAACAAACAGGAAGGGCTCATCCATATCAGCGCAGCGCCCGGCATTAATCCGGCGTGGAAGCATGACAGATGCACGTGTCACAGACACCGTTCCTTTGTGTCGCTGCAGGAAGCAGCATCACGGAGGCCAGGGTGTTCAGGGAGGCACGGGGCAGGAGCAACGCCGAGCCCCACATCAAGAGGCCCATGAACGCCTTCATGGTGTGGGCCAAAGACGAGCGGAGGAAGATCCTGCAGACTTTCCCCGACATGCACAACTCCAACATCAGCAAGATCCTGGGTGAGATACCACACACTCACGTTATTGGGGTGAACATTTTTTGTTTTTCCTCGGTAGCAACTTGATACTGATTGTTTTGACTTTCAGTGTTCCATTGATCAATTAATTAATCAAATAAAAACACGCTTTTGCTTTATTATGGATATACGTAAATACATAAATATATATATATATATATATATATGTGAATAGATTTATTTATGTGTATATATATATATACATATGTATAAAATGCTGGCTATCTGATCATGTATATTTATGTAAATAAATAACACAGAATATTTGACATTACAGCTTGGTTTTGGTTCCTTTATAGAAAAATCTAAATTTGCTTTACTTAAATGAGATACAGCAACTTGAGTTGCAGAGGAATCACTGCAGCACAACAGAACATAACACCCGTTGACAGCGTTAGAGTGGAATTAGATAAAGCAATATAACCGGTCAGAGAGACTGATGGGAAAAAGACACAAAGATCTTTTTCAAGAATGATTTATTTCTGCTCCTGGAACAGAAACGTGTTTATTCTGGGTACAAACTGTGATAATCACTCTATTTTTCTAGCAAGCTCATGCGTGTAAATCAGTTAATAAAAGAAGGTAATGAATATGTTTATTTTACAAGTCAAAATGTACATAAATGGTGTGCATCAGCAGCTTGAAGACTCAAGTCAGAGGACTCGGTGTGTTTGACAGTCGATGGTCCTCCGGACTCCAGCCGCTGTGCGTCTTCATCCCACAGTTACCAGCAGGCTGTAAGGAGGCCCAGTGTGCTTCAGAACCCTCGAGCACTTCCCACACAGAGCTCCACTATGCCGGCCTGAGTAGTGTGATGGATGCTCATAACGTAACCGCGTCCATGTGGACCTCCTGGACACAGATAGCCATTCACGCCGGCCATTAGGGGCGACGCTGGGAAGACCGCCGCGGTCCGATGGAGGGCTCGAAGCTCCGGAGCGACATTAACAAAGTTCCGCTGCCTCGGAACTTTGGATGGGCTCTGACAAAAAGGGAGTGTTGTGTTTCACAAAACGCTCCCTGCGTTTGTCGGACGTGTGCAAATCGTACATTGTGAGGATTTAAGTCCGACATGTATTCTATGAAGATGTACTCATTTTGAAATTGATATTTTCAGGCAAATATCATTAAGAGAATCTGGCTTAAAGTGTAAAGAGCTGAATTGTGTACGTGACTGCATGTGTACAATGCGTGTGTCTCCCACGTAATAACACAGCTGGACTCTGGGGAGTGGGTGGCAGGCTTGAAAAAACACTGTTTCCTGTGTCACAAAAGTACAAGTCTAGTTTGTGATAAACCTGGATAAACAGAGGAGCCGGGCGGGGCGTTTGTAATGAGAGCGCTGTGCAGATGTGCTGCTCCTCCACTTGTTCACAAGGTCCTCTTATCGAGGGAAATAAGAAGTACACAACGTATAATTCTTCTGCAGCCGAGAGGGAGCAGAGTGTCATTCACCCCGGAACAGCCTCTTTGGTTGAAGAAGCTGTCTGTTCACAACAACATCCAGCCTTAAACAAAGCACCGGCTCTGTCGCTGTTTTATTTATTGTGCAGCACAAGCCCGTTAACATCGTTTGGTCCACAGTGCTCTACATTCAAAAAAAGCATATATGTTTTATGAGCAAGCTAAATTACAATGAAACACAATGAGAAAGGTGGTCGTTTAAACAGACATGCTGATGAGGGTGCCGTATTTAAAGATGAATAAAATAACTTTATAATGAATCCCGCAGGGTCCAGGGAGCCAGTGATGTGCTCTCTTCTTCTTTTTGACTCTAGCTGCCTCGTTTTCCACGAGTCGAGGTTTGTAAATCGATGAATTAATCACGCCAGTAATCCAGCCGTGAGAAAAGAAAGACTTGGGTCAATTCTGTTGCATCCCATATTCGACAGATGTGGTTAATATTTCTTTTTATTTAAATTACTGTCCTCCACAAGCTTTCTTTCTTTCCACGTTGGATCATTAAAACATTAGCGGTGAGTCAAATACGTTCAGCTCTTGCTTTGCAGCGCGGCAGCAGCTGGGGGTCGAGATGCACTTGCTGCAGCTCTTAGCTCCATAATCACTCGTGCGTCCCCCCCCCCCCCCCACCTCCCGCTGTGAGCGAGGAGTCAGCCAGCAGGCAACAGCCGTATGAAATAGGCAATAAGGGGTGCTTTGAGAGAGTCGGAGTCTTCACTGGACGGAGATGACCCGAGAGCTAAAGCGCATCTCCATCTCCTTTTCTCCAGGTTCTCGCTGGAAAGGCATGACCAACCAGGAGAAGCAGCCGTACTACGAGGAGCAGGCCCGCCTGAGCAAGATCCACCTGGAGAAGTATCCCAACTACAAGTACAAGCCGCGGCCCAAGAGGACCTGCATCATCGACGGCAAGAAGCTGCGCATCGGCGAGTACAAGCAGATGATGCGGTCGCGGCGCCAGGAGATGAGGCAGTTCTTCGTGGGGTGAGTGCCAGAGCCGGCGGAGAGGACGTCCCTGTATGAATGTCACACACAGTTTGCAACGGGAATCTGAATTCTTAGCACCTTTTATATGAGCTATTTCTTGAGTATAGAAGAAATCTTCAGAAAAGGCGTAGATTTGATGACCATCAGGATTTACGGACAATTATTGAAAGGTTTCTTTTCCCAGAAACCTCCTGGTTGCCTTTTAAAATGCGCTGAACGGCTGAACAATAGGTTTTTAGCGTGTAACCAGTGCAGAAAGGGGAAAAGCAGTGGCATTGTCCTAATAGGAACCAGCCATGGACGTGTTTAAAGCCATCACAGTGGCCTGTGCTTCAGATGGATTTACCAGAGGCCACAGCTTTGAATCAGAGTGATTTTTAATAGCTTGTCATTTATTAAATCAGGACAATGCCGGGCGCTTGCGGGCAGTGAAATTGGACGCAGACAGACGTGGCTGAATATGAAATGTAAGCAGATGTTTGAGAGGGAAATAAGAGCGAGGCAGACGTCACAGGCTCAATGCCACATATTCTGTGTGTGGTCAAGTAAACGCAAAAGAAAGAAGAAAATAGCTCATGATTCTGCAGGCTGGGTCTAAATCAAAGCTAAATCAAATAGCTACCTGGGGCCAGTATATATCCAGTCTCCGGCACATTCCATTTAACTAAACTGGTGTTGTTTCAAAGCATTTAATGTGAAAATGTGTCTGTGAGAGCGCTCGGGGGTAATTGTTCCAGGAGACGGACGAGGGAAAACTGTTAGGTGAGAAAAGTGACGGCAATTTCGCTGCTTCATGTGGTTCATTTGAGGAGCCGGAGGGCCTGTTTGAGTGATGTGCATTTACCCTCATTCCATCTCTATCGGCGCAGGTTATTTAGCCGCTGCGAGCCGGCAGGGAGAGCTGCTTGTCGGGACGTGCCCGGCCAGACGAGAAGCATCGCTGCTTCACTCGTGTGCTCTCAGAATTAACGTAGTGAGGGAGAGGGAGCTTCTAATGAATCAGTATCTGATCAAATGTCCATCCGGCCACCTTCTTTTTTAAATGTATATGCAGCCCGTCTCTTGTCCTTTTAGCCATGGACATCTTTCTCAACTATCAGACAGTAATCAGGCGGATTGCTATTGCACAGATATTCATGGTCCCCAGAGCATCCCTACTGACCCAAAGTTAGACCCTAACCTTTACTCTAGCGCCACCGGGAGCTTAATTTCTGAGGGTGTTTGTGTAAAAAGTCACAACCACTAGTCGGTCAAGACATTCACGATCCCCAGAGGATGAATCCTATTGACTCAAAGTGACAGGAAATGTGGTTCTGACATGTATGTGAAACCCTCTACCTCCGTTTATTTCTACTCCGTCCTTGTTCCTCAGGCCTCAGCCCCCGATGCCTCTCGGCAGCAGCCCCGGAGGAGTGGGAGTTTACCCCGGCGCAATATCCATGGCAACCGCCACGACATCCCCACACCTGACCTCAGACTGCTCCAGCAACTCAGCCAGCCCCGAACCGGCCATCCCCGTCATCCAGAGCACGTACGGGATGAAGGCCGAGCCCGGGGGCGGCAATGGCGGCGGGGTCGGAGCCTTGGAGCTGCAGAGCGACCCCGCCAACGGAGACGACGACATGGACATGTACGAGGACTTTGAGGACGAGCCCAAGTCGGACTATAGTAGCGACCACGAGACACGGGAGGCCCTCAGTACCAACTGAGAGGAGAAGAAGAAAATAAAACCCCTGTTATACTCAGAGGCACTTTTAAAAAAAAATGTTTATTAAAGTCCTTGAGGGCCACCTATCGGGACGCGAACGCAGCGGACATGCCGGGACAGCCATCGGACGGCGTCTCGACAGACGGACGACGAACAACGTGACCCAAGAACAAAAAGAAAAGACATCTTCAGACATCCGACTGACACAGACCTTCAGGTTCCTTCGCCGTGACAATCTTAACAGTTCCAGGACAGAAAGCAGATGAGAGAGAGATTGGGACGAAGGACAGACGAGCGAGGGACACATTACTGTGTGGTTTGTAGAGAGTATCGTGCATGGATTGAGAAACATCGGGGATTGGTCTTCAACAGCTATTTGGTCTTAATGTTTAAGGAGTGATTTAGTTTTCGTCATCATGTATTTACCTTTTTTGTGTTTTTGTTTCATTGTTTTTTCTTCTATAGACTTTGTTTCTGACAGGTCACTTGCCTGTACAAACTCTGGACTGTGGGAACTTGAAATTTGAAAAGTTTTAATATAAATCCTAGCTATTGTAATCTTATAGTCTTATCTTTGTTTCTTACACGGCGCATCTACATCTTGTTTTGCTGACAAACTGCTTATATTACATTACTGTTTTCCCTTTTTTTATATCCCAGCTCAGGTATGATGTGCCAGATGTGCTTGTGAATGTGTTTTTTTTGTTTGTTTCTTTTCATACAGAAAAAGTGGTAGGACTTTTCAGACTGTCAATTATCACATCATTATTATTATTATTATTATTATTATTATTATTATTATTATAACTAAGTACCCAGGCATTGTACAGATTTATTTCAAATGTGCCAAACCTACACTCACATTCATTCGGGATGTTGTAGTCTTAACTTCTAATCCTGCAAAAAAAGTCTTATTTAATCATCTTTTTTCTAACTGATGAGATTAATTCCTACTTGGTAACTGCTGGCTTCCCTCCCGAGCCGATCACAGGCCGAGCTCGGGGAGGATGTGCTTTCATCACGCTCGCTCAGTCGAAATCACACGCGCACACACGCACGCACGCACGCACACACACACACACACACATTGTGCTGTAGTTACGAATGCTGACATTACATGTTGGAGTCTTAGAAGTGTCCCCACACTTTGTCCATTCAGCGTCATAGAAACGGGGACGAGCAGTATCAGCATCACCCCCCTGGAGAGAAATACGCTGTGTGTTTTCAATCGGTACAAAATGTTACTGGTTTATGAACCAGTTGATAATTGTAGATCTCGTCTCAGCATCACGTGGGAAAGATAAACTAAAATAATGTTTAAAAAAATTCATATGGTTCAAGAAAATGAAATGAAGGTTTAAGAGGTCTGTTATTTCAAAAGGTACTTATTTTCTATACTGCATCTATATTTTGAAGACGAGTAAATTATTAAGAGAAGAATGGAGCAATAAAGAGTACTGTGTCTTCTTTCCCTGAAGGCACAATATTTTGTCTTTGTCTCCTTTCCCCCAAATCAATTTTTATCTCCAACATTTTCACCTTCGACCTACGGATGGTTTCCGAGTGCTCTCCTTACGTGTTACCTGTTTCCCACGTCTCCGTGTTTCTCCCCATAACTCGCAGTGAAAAAAAGCCTCATGCAAAGACATTTCTGTTATAGTGTCGTAAGCATCCTAAGCACTGGATAGAAATTCTATGTTTCTTTTGTTTTTTTAGTATTGACTAATGTGAAGTTGTTGTTTGATTTTCAACATGATAAATTAGAACAGTCAAAAGTCACATGTGTGGGAAAAGCCTCGTGCGAGCTGGGCTCGAGGAAGTTGCCATTTCTTTAGAAGCATTTCATCGAAGCGAGTCGCGATGCTGCAGCTCTCGTGCCGCCTCAGTGGGGGTCACGTCGCCCCCCCCCCCCGGTCTCTTTAAAACCTCGTGCTCTTGACAGCTGTGACCTGCGGAAGCTGAACACACGTTTCCTGGTCGCAATACTTTTTTTTTTTGTGATGAGTATTGTATTTGAAATTCAATTGTGCGTTTTAACATTTCATTGTATTTATTAGCCGGCTTTGGCTCTAAAAGTGTCAGTACAACTTGGTGAGAAAGACAATCAAAAAAAATAAATAAATAAAAAGTAAAGCCTTGAGATTTTCCTTATAAATCTGTCTGTGTTTCTATGACCTTGTGTGGAAAGTTGTGTAATTTGTTCACATGCCTATTGTACTGTGCATGTGAAAGCACTGTGCACAAGCTACAGGTAGTGCTGAATGAATTATTTTTCCATTACTATAAAGAGCTCTCTGACTTTCCAGGCTTCTAATCATTTCCAACAAAATGCTTTCTGTTTCCAAAATGGACCTATTCCACTCGGCTTTTATATTTTGGTGGCCCATTACAGTGAAATCTGGCCTATTGTTCCATTGTACGTGCGCGCACGTGTGTGAGGTAGCGCCACACTTTCTGACCGTGCTGTGGTGTAAACGCCACGGCGCCACTGCTCGCTGCAGCCAATCGCAGCATGTCAGACGGAGAGGAACAGAGGCCTCAGCCACATGCAGCTGCATCATAAATCTCATCGTAATTCCCAAATCAACTGTAGCGTCACCCGGCGAGGGGCGCCGGCCCGTTTGTCACACACTCCTTTGTGTGCACGTGAGTGTGTGTGTGGTACAGCTTTAGGTTTGGAGGGGTGTTTAAAATCATACTTGTGCTGTTACATGCTAATCTCGTTAAATAGGTCATCATAATTTACATTTCCTTTTTCCTTTCTGCAGGATGAACATTTAGATGATTGCAACTTGACAGATTGTTCCTGTGTGTGCAGGGCTGCACGAGTGTGTCCACGGCTTTCAGCCTTTTAACAGGAGCTCAAGGAGAGCGCAGTTAGCTACAGTGAAGTCGTACTTCATGACCTTATATTTACATTCCTATGCAGACTTTATTTAGGGGGCAATCCACAAGTTTCCCTTCAGCTACTTGAAACAATATATGAAACAATTAGCACTTAAAAATTACAAGGAACCCAAACATTTAACAATTTGTGTATCAGAGCTGGGGGGCCCTTGCGTCTGGCTGTGAGCCTTGTGAGAAAAATAAGAGGGACAAATTGTTCTGCTGAGGCCATTGAGGTAAAATCCCCTCCAGACATTTAACCACGTGTAAGAATACTCTCCTCAAATAATATACTGTTAAGAAATAATAAAGACAGGTTATACAATAGGTTATTTTAATTTCAAGACCTGCAAATTACATTTAGTGACATACTGTATATATTATTACGTTTTACATACTAAATCAATAGTAGACAAAGGCTTTGAATATTAAAGAATTTCACTTCTTTTTTTTAGATATTTTGATTTTGTTGACATTTTTATAATTACATTTTTCAGCAAACCTTTACAACACTTTTTGTTAACATACATTACTTTGATTTATCTGTAATGTTTTCTGAAATATTATACAATTACATATTTTATCAAACTAGTGTTTTTCAATAAACTACATAATACTTTTTGTCATACTGTGGCAAACTATACTAGTAATTTTATGGGCGTTACATAATTACATTTAATCTGTACTATGACATTTTTAAACCCACTAAGGTTTTATTCATTCATGATATTTATCGACTTGCGATACTCTGAATTCTTTTGATAAACTACGCTGTGAAATTTAACAGACTTTTTTTCAATATTTCATGACACTTATCATACCAGTACATTATATTTTCAATATATCTGAACTATTATGTTCAATTCATATTTTTAAAATATCATGATATTTTTTCCAACATACTAAACTTTGGCTTTTTTCAACATACTGTAAAGTTTGTTCTTAACATTTTCGACATACTGTATTTAAACTTTGTCAGACATAAACTACTATTACTTTTTACAGTATACCTTTTTGACATCGGAAATATCCACGATATTATATAATATATGTTATTTTTCTTCAACATATTATACTATTTTTTAATAACCACCACTGATTACTGAATTCTATATTTGTACAGTTCTGTTCTTACAACCATTTGGATGTTTTTTTTTTTTTATAAATCTTACTCTGAATAACTTTGCTTCATGAAATCTTTTTACTTTTTTCTAAATACCATGCCATCACAAATTAATACCAAACCGTTTTAATGCCTTTTTTGGACAGACTAAACTATGACATTTTATGATATTTTTCTACATCCATTACTACATTACAATTTTCAACACACTATACGTTATACGTTTTTGATGCAATTTTGATGCTATATATGTCATGTTATAGTATGACAATTTTGATGACCGACTATATTATCTGTGTGTCATGTGGCTTTATTTTTCAAAAAACATGTACAAACTTTTATCTATAATTATCTATCAATATTTTTGTGATGTTAGACAAAATACTTTACTCTTAGTTCTTTTTGTGGCCTTTTTGACATATACAATGACATGGATGGAGTCACAGTATAGAACACTTTTAGGACATACTTTGACGAGTAGTGACATCATAATCGTTTCTCTTTTCCATGCTAAACACTAAAAGATCAAGACGATTATAAATGTTTATCACAAAGGAGTGAACGTGTTGGAAAGGCTCTTTCAATGAAGCGTCAGAGCCAACCTGTATATACAGTACACATATTTATCTATTTATGTATACTGTATATGAAGCACACAGAATGGTGCAGCAAGCTGCCATACTATTTGAGCTTGGAGCTAATGAGGTTCAATCTTTTGAATGCGTTGGATTCAAAGACGTAATAATGGAGCCTCCATCGAGAGCAACATGTCCCACAATAAGCATGAGCTCTATGAGTCATTTTGCAGGTAAAACATAGCTTGAAAGTCTAGTTTTAATTGAAACGTAATTTTTTTTTTTTTACTTCAGAAATGTCTGAGGTTGAATAGTAATTTTGAAAAACGTACTGCCCTTTAACATATACGGTATATTAATATAATAAAGTGAATTAGCTAGTGTAATGTAAAACCTTCCCTTGAATACAATGTTGGAACGTTTTAAGCAAATTAAAATTGACAACATTGGTGAGTTGGGAGGGGGTCCTATTAGAATTCCAAGGGTCAGCAGCCTTGGGAGGCCTTCAACAATAACAAAAAATCTAAATGCAATATCTCAATAAAAGGAAATTACACACACACACACAAAAGCTTTGAAATGAGTTGCTTTTGCTGCATTTGTGTTTCAATGTCTTTGAAACATTGCACAAAGGCCTATACTTCTTTTTTTTATTGCAATTAGAAGTGAAAGGAAAAAAAACAGCACTTTCTGGATGGGCAATGGACAAAAGGCCAATTTTTCCTCTTTGGAGAAAAGTCCTTGGGTCTTTTTAAGTGCATTAGTCCGCTAATTAAATATTATATGTTAACGAAAAACGCACTTTGAAAGCAGCTGGATTGTTTGACTCAAAGACACGGCTGCAACCTTGATGAGTGGAACTGTGTGTGACCATGAAGAGGTAAAGAACGTCATTGTTGCCCCCCCACACTCCCCCATTTCACCCACCTTAATCCTTTCTGTGGATTTTACAATCACAATCCCTTTAGTGCTTCCTCCACAGATAAAGACACTGTTATAAACTCATATCGGAGCTTCAGAGTCTCCACTGTCTCACAGCCTGATGTGTTTGTTTCATTACCTGCACACCGACTAATTGTTCACAATTCAAAATGGAATGCAGCCCTCCAGATACCGGTTTGTTTACACGACATGGAAAAAATCCTTGGATGTTTTCAATGTTAGATCAAACTATGATAGCAAAGTTTTACACTTGAACTTGTCTCAAGTTTTACCCTGTACTTTGTGTTTTAAAATCTGTAGAGTTCATATAATTTCGCACTGGTCAACCAGAAAGTATTAAACTCCCAACCTTTATTGGTACATATTGTTTGTATAAATCCTTCCGACTAACTCCTTTCTCTTATGGTATCTTCTCCTACAATGTGGATTAAGTTAAATACCAACATGCTTTGGAGGAAACACAATGATGCTTTGATTCTAACCCTCCGTCCTTCTGTCAACTGCTGTCGCTAAACTCAGAGATCAATATATCGATCTCAATCCTTTTGGAGACTAGCAGACCCCAATTGGGGCCCAAACAAGCCAGAACCAGGTGACAACCAGTACCATGATAGGGATAAATTTATTCAACAGTAACATATAAACTGATTGTCATACATTATAGCACTTATGGGAGTTCCCCTTTACCCCCACAAAGTAGTTCCTGAGATATTATACTTTTTATCATTGGTGTGCCATTTTCCCCTAAAGAGACACGTGTATATTAGAGTGTCTAATTGTTGTGTCACAGCAGTGCCAACGTGGTCCTAGAGTACATGTGACCTTCCCTTTGTGTCAGTCATTCACACCTCCTTCCTTCCTCGTTTATAAAAGAACATCAGAGGTGGGATCAGACACATTAGAATCAACTTGTGTCTTTGAGACGCCTTCAAACAAAGACGAAGCTTCTCATGTTAAAATGTCCCGTGATCACAGGTTACGTTTGACGCGTGGAACTTATTAATTACGCCGCTCAGCCCCGTCCCCTCATATTGTTTGGTTCAGTCTCACGTCGATTAGGGTTCGAGGCATAAAACACACTAGTTTTAAATAGTTTAAGGCCAATGTATCTAAACACACTGCACGGATAGCAGGTGAAAGCTGTATTATTGAGGCTGCGGTTTATTCTATAAAGTTGCATGAATAGTAGTTTGCTCTCATCTTAAGCTGACATGGATAAGTAATTCAAGTTTTTAAGCTGAATCATCAACTGTCACACTGGCGAACGTAACTGAATGATTTGATTTTGATCAAATTTTGAAGTTAGTCCTTTGTTTGTCAAAAAGACCACGGAAGCCACAGCTGTCACAGCAGCATGCAGCTCCTCGTGACCTTATGAAATTAAGCCCGAAATGAACCTTTGTGATCAGCAGAAATGTGAAGGGGAAAGGACATGACTCAAGACGCACTTTGCATTCTGGTTGTTTTTAAACAACAACTGAGTTTTAACAGAAAAATGTACATTTCAGATGGATTGTCACGTAAGAAATTTGACCTCTATATTCTGGGAGCGACTCGTTAATTTAAGCCCTTTTCACATTTGCATTACTCTGTATGATCGGTGTACGTCCTCTGAGGTTGGACAAGAGCAGCTTGTAATGGTAAAATATGATATAACAAGTGTCCTGTATTTGACCCTGATGTGCAAAGAGCAGCATGATACAAAATGTTAGTTTGCAGCTGAGCCCTGAGAAGGGAGGACGGTCGACTCAATCTCATAGAAGCTTCAAAACAAAGGACTTCTGTTCTGAAAGTTCCGGATCCACGTTTTTACTTTATGTTAATTAATTATGATTTGCACCGGCCACTGAGGAGGATCTTGTGTGTGTGTGTGCTACCCTCAGCTTCACCTGGGTTCTTATCTCAACCCACTTTGCAGCTTCTCGTAACTGGCACGGAGAATGTCCTTCACATGTGTAGAAAAAAAGCGTTCTTACTGCTCCACAGAGCACCGTGATACGTGCCCGTGTATTTGACCTCCTGCTTGCAAGCAAAAAATGGACTTTTTGCAACTTTGATCATCCATCAAGACTCTGTTTTATCAGGCAAATCATTCTCTTCTACCGAGCTTTTATTGAAATATTCCACAACAAGCTTTACACCTTTTCCAAAGGTGAAAAGTAGCCCTTGAGTACTCGTCACAGTAAACGAAAGAAGCGAAGACTTTTTTTTCCATCAGAACTGCACTGAATAAGCACATAACCCCCAACACCTTTAGGATCCTTTTATGGCTTTATTCGGCTAAATGTGGAAAGAACTAATGCTTCTCTGGCACAAACTTCATCACAATGTGCCAAAAAGGCACAAAAACACACATTGTGGTAAAACAAATGTTTTAAAAATTATCGTAATGATAGCGAAACACATTATCTCAAACTATAGCCTGGAATAACAAACCTAGGGGAGCACATTTTATTATATTATTATTTCATTATTATTATTATTATATTATAGTATTTGCCAAGAAGGACTTTGGTACCTGTTCTTAGTCTTACAGCAGAGTAACGCTTCTTCTGATTTACAACATGCTGCTGAATTGTCCTCATTTTTTTAGCTTTTTGTCAACCCAAAATACTCCTCTTTCTTCTCAAAGTAGAAGTTGAATCGAGCCGTGGCGTATCTGGGATGAGAGCAGGAAACAGGAGAAAACACAATCAGAAGATGCAGCATTTACACATTAAATGAACCGATTTAAAATCTGAGCTCCATCTTCGTTTTTAGATGATTACGCTGCTTTTTCACAACGTAATTTACTGAACTCGCTGTGTTAAATTAAAATCACATATATAAATATCTTTAAAAGGAAAGGACAGGTGAAATCTGTCCATTCTCTGGCATGCATGTCCTTGTGTTCAAGTATTATCTGAAAATCCGTGCAGGTTCCACAGGTGCGGTCCAAAGAAATGGCAGTTGAGCGAAAGCGTTTAAATACAGTAAGTGTACGCACCGAGGAATGGATTCAACTAAAGAAAATAACGGTCTGCTTTACAGAGGTCTCATTCCGGATGGAGGTCAATGGGGAAATGTTAAACCTTAAAACGTTAATTCCACCGTTTGGCCGCCTTGGTAAATCTTGAAAATGAAATGATGAAGACATCATCAGGGTTATTCTCTGGAGACGGGACGAAGCTCCTTCAGGGCCACAGGAAACGTTCTTTGCTTTTACTGCTCGTTATTCAATGAGATGCGTAAACAGATTTAAAGTGAATCACTGCGGACGTCTCGATGCACTTTAGAAATACAAATACAATTTCAATTGTAAATCTAGTTCATGTAGTAATTAAACATGTATTCTGTATTTAATGTTGGTTGACAAACTACCGGAACCTTTGTTTGTTTAAACATCTGGCTCTCGACCTCCACAGATCCTCATTCACTGAGAAAACACACTTGAAGTGCTATTTACAGGATTCTGATGCATCTCGTGTGTGCGTCCACCCCACTTGTGCTTAATTGGAAAGATATTGGTAAAGAAATGACATTATTCTTAAAAGACGTTCAAGTTTTAATTGCCTTTACAGTGATGTGCCTGTCCGGTATTCATTACAATTCACAAGTGTGTGCTCCGCTGAAAGGTGGGCATTATGATTTTTATTTGCCAAGATTGCACAACAATGTGGCATCAAGTCTCTTTTCAATAAAGCACCGAGTCTGAAAGCTTCGCCAAAGCCTCACAACTTGACTGCGAGAAAAGTGGGTTTTTTTCTCATCGAACGCTTCAATAAATGTGATGTGTGAGTACGCCGCTGCCCTTGGCCATTATACGACACCCTTTGAAATTAAGTGAAGTTTCAAAAGCAACAGAGAGGAGTTTGTCCTCTAATCAGCGCTTCCACTGAACTCCTCAATGTCGAATCCATTCTCTCTCCTTTGTGGCACGTTGAGACAAAAACATAACTGAGAAACAGGCCCTAGTTACTCGTGCACCGCCACTGTGCCTCTGGGCAAAGCTGCTCCCTAATCACCGAGTCAAAGTGGGACTTCTGTTGTTTGCTGCAAAGACTCGTGGGTAGTTTTGTTCTTTCAGTTTCTCTGCTGCACTCGCGGGTCACCATCTCGTCGATAAGAGGCCACACGGCAACCTTTGCCATTGGACAGCAGCAGGAGAAACAGAAAATTGGTGGAAAAGAAAAAAAAGGAGAAAGAAACCACCGGTGTTGATGTGTTTGAACCATCCCGCCATTATCGTGTTATTGTGGTTTGATAACACTCAAAGGGAGTTTGAACGCACCGTGTTCCTGATTGGATGAAAGCGAAACACGGTGGTAAAATGTTTGGAATCGTTGCTGCTGCTTTTCAAACAGAAAAAGAATATACCGGCTGTTATGTTAGAACATTAAACTTCTCTGTTAGGTCAATTATGCGGTTTACGTCTTTTAGAATTTAAATCTACGATAGTGTAAGAGATGCTGGAAGTGACAACACATTCTCAGAATAAAAAAGCCATTTAGTTTGTCAAATAAAAAAGGGAAAAATATCTTAAATTTCCGCTCATTAAAACAACTCACTGGCACCTTTCTTCTGTTGATCCAATCACCCGCTGCACTCACACCCTTCATAAACTGGATTATTTTGGACTTTACCCATTTGAAAGAACAGCAACCTTCGCATCATCCGTCATTTTATTACAACTGACACCTCAAACTGGCCCGCTTAAGATTTATCACCATCACGGATGAAACTAAGATGTTTTTCTATTTAGCAGAAGTAGTGGAAAATGAACTCCCTCCAGAAGCCGGTATTATATTTCACAATGTCCTTTTGTGCACGATTCCCTCAATTTTGCAGTCGGGTTTTTGAAAACAGAGGGCCTCCTCCTCCTCCTCCTCCTCCTCGTCCTCCTCGTTCATTTCCTCATAATAATGTCTTTGTCAAATAACGGCTCACCTTGCCAACGCGTCCACAAATTTAAACCGCTGACTCGCAGACTTTCGACACATGAATAAAATCACACGAGGAAAGTGAGGGAGGGCGGCGGTGCATTCCTGCTGTGGCTCCCTATTGTCACATGCACATCTGGAGCCGCTTAGCGCACGAGGCCCGGGCGGCGCGTGTCACCGCGGCCGGGGAAGCCTGCAGAGATTCGGATGCAAAGGCCCTGCAAAAAGATGAGAGTCCTGGGGGGCAGCGTTGGCAGGAGGACCGGGGATACGCGTGTGTGTGTGTGTGTGTGTGTCAGGAGACAGAGGTCGGCCCGCGTGGCGAACGCCTTCGAACCCGGTTCCCCACTGTCCTGTTGAGCTCACTTAAGTCTGACCCCCCCAGTGAAAGAAGGGAAACCCGACCCCCGGCGTGCACTTCAGGACGACCTCGGCGGCCTAGAGCAGCAGACGTCTCGCGGGCGCATGTGGCCGAGCCGGGGATGAGAGACGCGCATTGCGAGGGAGGCCCAACGGCGCGGGAACAATAGCGCCTCTGTGCCCCCCCCGCCCCCATCCGCCCCCCTCCGGATCACGTTTCCTCCGAGGGCCAGATTCAAAACGAGGCGGGGGCCCCGCCGCTGATCCAGCCACACGGAGGGGAGGGTGCCGCGTGTCGATAGTGATTAGGATCACGACCACGACTGCGCCAGTTGTGGGGCACGCCGGGAAGGAAAAGAAAGGTGGGGGGGGAGGGGGGCATTTTGTCCTCCTGAACTTCATTTGTCTCCTGGACTTGTTTGAAGAGAACGAGGATCTTTGCATCGAGGTGAATTAGTTTTGCATTTCTTGTGCCTGAATTCTGTCTTTGAGTTGTGTTATAGGGTCCAGTTACATATATGTAATAAATGTTACATACGTGGGAATATTTAATGATGTGATGTAAACTGCTTTTAAATACATTTAAAGTTGAGTTGCTGATTTCAATGTTAATGTAACAGTTCAGTGTTTGTTTCGTCCCTACAGAGAGGCACAATTCTCTCTGCTCCAAAATACGAACCTCTCAAAGTCAAAGTCGATGGAGGAGAACCGTGATTGCAGAATGGCCCAAAGACCCCAGAAGAAGTTTGATGCCTGGTGGAAGACAAAAAAAAAATACTTACTCATACTAGTACAGTATAGTACTAGTACTAGTCAATACTACTCAACATTTTCCTACTCAACGCCATTTGTTGCTGACTAGTTTTCAACTCGTTGCATTAGAAAGTTAAACTGTGTGACTTGTTTTAGTTAATCCACAACAGTGATTTTATTGAGCATCTGAAGTCAAATCAATAAATGAAAGTGTGTGTGTGTGTGTGTGTGTGTGTGTATGTGTTAGAGGTACTGAGGTAAGTATGCAAATATATTGGCTATTTCTTAAAATATAAAACACTTTTGGATAAATAATCTTTGAAAATAATACTGTGAGTGCTTTGGGGACGTGAATTAGTTTTCACTTGACTTGACTTCCGTACAAGGACAATTAGGTAAATTATAATATTCATCACTTAACCCGAAACAAGTGCGTGTTTGTGTGTTTACTTCATCATAGAACCCAACGGAACGTGACTGCGTGTTCAGTACTATTCGTAATGTTGTCTTTAAAAGGAATGTCGGTGAGAATGGGGGGCCGGCCCCCGTTTGATGGTCCAATTAAAGCCTGAAAAGCTCACTTCTTGTTTGCCCTGCCGCAGGTCACGGTGGGGGGTCAGAGGTCAACCTCTTCAGCATGGCAATGCTGGCTGGCTGACTTGTTAACCAGCTGAATATGTCATTCACTCTGCATTGCGTTGGCGCCGTTTGCTCCGCTGGTTAAATAAGCGCTGCGGATCGCTCTGAGAGCTGAACGCTGTCACCAACTTTGTTTGTTTGTCTGCTTGCATTTCCTTTTGCCACAGAGGCCAAACTGTGAAAACACGCTTTAGCGACGTCTAGTCGTGGCGTTGTACCCTGCTGCACGCGGCGTGCACGGCGCTCCGTCAGGATGACAAACGCCCGTATTGAACGGTTCCCTCCTTAATGGCTTTGCTCGCTTAAGCTTTCTGTTGTTCTCCGGCCTTATTGTAAATCCTCATGGCAGGACCACTAATAGCACCTCCTAATAAGATCCAGACAGGCCTCTGTTCTGCGGCCCAGTGATATAATCACTTTTTTATTTGATAATCAAATAAAGGGTTGGAATGAAATACTTGAAGAGAAATGTGCGGTTTTCCCTGTTTTGTTTTCCTTCTCCCTGCCAGCTTCTCCTCTCTGTCTCGGGGCGAGATCGAGCGCACTTCCATTGAGATTAATAACTGCTCTCCATCAAGAGAGCGTCACTCCAACGGCGAGCCGAGACACCCGCGGAGCGGAAGGCCGACGGTGGACGTCACAGAGCCGCAGGATGGCGAGTGGCGAAGACCCCGCGGCCACTTGGCACAGTTTGCCACGGATTGAGACCCTAAAAGGGGGCGGCTTCACGCCGCAGAGCTTTGGCAGCCGGCCCGGATCTGTCGATGCCGCGCTGCAGAGAAAACACAGCCTCCTCCGGCGCGCGCCGGGTTCCTCGGTTTAGACCATCCGTCGGCATTTTCATCTGCAGGGCCTGAACTGTAGCGGGGAGCCAATGTAGAGTGCTGTTGTTTTTGTTTGATTTAGGTCTCGTGTCAGAGGAACACCAGGAAAGGAAGTTTTGCACACACACACACACACATAATATTTAGAAGGTACAATGTCTGTAAACAGACAAGTTTCAACTTAACTCCTTGAAATTATGGAGAATAGGAAATGATTTTCTCCGTATTCCTCATCCTGACAGTTGGCTTGTTAAGCATCATTGATCAATTTCTCCCACTTCCCTCCAGTCAGGAGTCCTCCTCCGTTTGTCATAGAAAATGTGATTTCAATCATCGCTCACTCCATCCATCGCTTCTCCCTCTTTGGCACAACTTATTTAAAAAAAAGAGAAAAAAAAATCAAATGCTTCATCATTTTTGGGATATCTCAAGGGACATTCGCACCACCTGGAAATTGGTCGGGACAATTCTGCATATTGTGTTGAGCTACGCAGGCACTTTTAGGCAGATAGCACCACTTGAGCCGCCCAAGAATGAAAATTGTGGTCATGAGAGAAATAATTTGGGCTGCTGTCTCATTTTTCCCCGGGGCAGTTTCTAAATCAACTCAGACCGAGTCCATCAAACTTTGAACAGCGGTCGGTCACATGTGGATCGGGTCTGACTTTTACTCCTTTTTTTTTTTTTTCATCGCGGGGCACTTTTCTTTTTCGGGAGCTGGAAAAGTAAATTGTTAAAATGTGACGGCGGGGTGTTGAGATATCTGTACATTAAGACGTGTTTTGGGAGCAGACACTCACCAGGGAGAATTTGCAGACTTGGACGTAGAGCTGCGTAACTTCTGCCTCCGTAACAGTGACCTCGTGACCTGTGCTGTGCTTGTAGCTCTCCAGATAGGCCGTCAGCCAGTCCCTCTGCAGCTCCGGCCTCGGGTAGAGGCCGTAGTTCACCTCGTTCACACCTACAGAGAGACGGAAACACACGGGTCAGTGAATCAGACGGCATGCCTAAACAAACTCATCAATTCTACAGTCAAAACCGTCAAATAGTTCAGTGATTAAACATATTAAGATAAGGAGCAGGGGAAATGGGTGGCAGCACTTTCATTTGAATGTGGATATTAAAACCGTGACGACGATGATACGGTGCAAATAAATTGTCCAAAATGTTCTGGATTGTCAACTGGGGATAATTTTACTGATCAGCTTTGACATGATTCTCTCCGTTTTTGATTTAAAAATGTCAGAACGTTGTAGAAAATGACTCTATCCTGACATCAAAAACACTAAAGCTTTGTAATGTATCCAAGAACATTCTTCTATTATTAGTCTATTGTTATTATACATATTTCATTGACTAGTATTACAGCTTATTTTCTATATTATAACATCCATGATTTTATTTTTTATTTTTTGTTCGAAATACCTCAAATCGTTAAAATTGCCAACTTGCTTTTGCCTTTTCTGCTGTTTTTATGATGCACACTTGTAAATAACTTTGATAACCTATTCAAATGTGATACAGTATCATAGGAAAACTACTCCATAATTACCTCAAAGTGGAACTAATCACTTTTATTAATATAATAATTAAAATAATTAGATTAAAAAAACTCTGGTACATAAGCCACTCGTACCGCCATGCAGAACAAACACTGAATGCACTAGTTTATCTTTGCAGCATCAGAACAGGAAACATTTTGGCTAAACGATAAATTGACACAATAGCCGACCGGACAAGGAGACCGGACAACGATTCTGCATCCCACTTACTTCCTATAAACGTTCTACTTAACTCAATATCCCGCATGAGGCCATCTTATATGTTCTGGCAATGAAATAGATTCGGAGGAAAATTGAACTTCTTTTTTTTTTTCACAACGCAGACCTACCAGCAAATTCATTGAAGTGATTGCCAATATCGAAGGCCTGGTAGTTGTAATCGGCGTACTCGTAGTCAATGAACTTCACCATTCCTGTTGGATGCCGAGAGGGAAAGGGAGAAAAAAAAACAGCGGTTACCAAGACAACGTGAAGAACACTGACGACTCTCCCTCCTTTTATTCAAAGTACAGAACCTTGTGGGAATCAAAGGAAGAAGGAGTCTCTTTTGACTGAGAGCCGGGGCATCCTTGTAAAATCCACAAGGAATAAACATGATAAAAGGAAACCCTTGGAATAAGGCAAGACATTTACTAGAGAGGTGCAAAGGTTCTCCTCTGTATGTAAAATAAAGGGACAGGGAATGAATGCTCGGCGAGCTGCATTATTTCAAGCCGATGAAAAGAAGCACCTTCCTCATTATGAACATTATCTTCAGTGATTCAAGTTTACCAGAAGTCGTTCATATGTTCTCTGCAGTAATCAGCAGCCTTTGTCTCTTCTGCCACACCAAGCACACTTTATTTGCATGGCACATCTCAACAACAGAGCTGTTTAAAGTGCTTCGCGTAACACCCTCAAAACATCCAAACAAAAAGCAGCACATGTCGGGTTCAGCGCTCCTCACCCTCCTTGTGGTTGTAGATGATGTTTTTGGTCAGAAGGTCGTTGTGGCAGAGGACAGTGGGCGAGTCGATCTGCGAGAGGTGTCTCTTCAGGGACTCCATTTCGAGGGACAAAGTCTCCAAGCTGGGCACCTGCTGCAGAGCGGCCGGGCTGCGAGAGGACAAATCAATGAAATTAGACAACAGAATGCAGAAGGCCGAGGCTTCAGCTTTTAGTTTGAGTCACTGCGGCTGTGAAATACGCAGTACGGTTGAATTTGACTCTAGTAAAAGTATCACTACTTATGTTCTCTTGCTGCTTCTTTGATAGAATCCAGCCTTTTCTAACGGTACATGTACTCCGGATTGTACTGTCCGAGAGATGCTTTATTATCACTGATGCTGGGAGGTCAGTGATGGAGAAGCAAAAAGAAATTTAAAAAGATTACTGTATTCAAAACCTGTTTTAGAAAAATGTACAGAAGTGTTATCAGCAGAATGTTCTATAGTCCAAAGTAAAATAATTGAGCCCTTTTTTTCCCCGTCAGAATAGTATATCATTGGAGTAATTCTGATGCATTAATGTGGAAGTAAAAAGACTGCTGGTTGAGCTGCAGCTATTTTTAATACCTTCAACCTGCAGCAAAATGTCACTATAATGCTCCAAAGTACTTTCCTTACAACGTAAGTAGCTAGAAATACACTTGTATCATTTTGGAACTATGCCTCATTACAAAGTGCTGCTGCTTTGTCCTTTGCTTCTTCAAATGTTATTGTAAAGACTCAATCCAAGCGGGAATCTCCCCCGACACACGATGAGTCACCTGCCTCCAAGAATTGTTCATCCTCACACAATCGGAATTGTCTGGCTCTCGGCGGTGTGTCAGCGTCCTGCCGTCTGGTCCAAACTCTGTTTTAGAGGGTTGTCGAGTTTTGAGGAACTTCTATTGTTGTTCAGAAATCCACATTGGTTGATACAAATCAGATCAAATGTGACTTTTATAAATGAAGGGAGGACAAACCCCTGGCGCAGCTGCGCCGGGACGTACAGATGAACCCAGTGTGTCACAAATTGCACACTTTTCTTCCGGGGGGGGGTGAACCTGTTAGTAAACTGAAGCGGCCCGACGTGCCTCCTCCAGAGGCCACTCGGCTGATTGCTCCATCTATCAAAGACGGCATTAACGTCCTCGGAGGAGAAATGCTGCGCGAGCGTCCGCGTTGTGCGTTTCCTCTTCGGTTGTTTCAGTTTTAAACAGCGTCATTTAAAACACTATTTACTCGCAGGGGAACAAACAGATGGTATTGTACACACTTGCAGACATAATTTAGTGAGGCCTGTTGTAATAATAAAAGCTGTGGAGGGAGGCCTTGTTTATAGTCTGCTGTCTTAATAGACTCCACCTACACATCCTCCACAACACAAGTCCTCTTTGTAGCCCTCATGCATGTCCCAGACGGATCAGGGAAAGATTGATTGAACAAAACCAATCGCTTTTCCCGAGGAAAAATATGCAAAATAATACATTCTATTTAAAGTGTCTGCTTGAATTTGGACCTTTTAAATATCTTATTTATTTAAGTGCAAATACTGTAAAATGAATTCCAAATACCAACTTCAGACAGATCTCAGCCTAGAAGATCACCGTCTGAGTGTTTGATCCACACCTATTTGCCTACGAGATCTTTCTGTTATGGAAAATCGACCCCGTCTGACATGCATCATTTATCTCATAATACGCGTTAAAAACACAGTGAAATGGTGAATCACCCTGATTCCTTTTCAACCCCTCCACTACTTTAACTCAACTAAATGACTTTCACCACAGAAAACCTGCGATTGCTCGGGAGTCAGAAGCTAAATGAAAGACTTTCATTGACTTTAAATGGAAACCTGTCGTCTTGCCATCAGATCTTTTCCTCTCTCTTTTCATGAGGATCGGTTCGTCAAGTGCGTTCGCCTCCTGCTCCTTGTCAACTCGCTGTAAGGTAATTAGTGGAATTTCCTCCTCTGGCGCTTCATTATCAATGTGCCTTATTTACATATGATTTCAAACACCAGCCGAGCACAGTTTTTTTGTTTTTTTTTCTTCTCCTTCCTCTTTGCGGTTTTATGCGATTCGCTGGATTGCAAACGGGAGACGCGGCGGGGGGCCTTTGGGAGGAGAAGAGGTTGCACTCTTGCTTTCCATCGCCTTTCTCTCGCATCTCTCACGTCTCCTGTGCACTCACTCTCTGAGCCTTGCAGCTGCTGCTGTGGCCTCTCTCCCTCCCTCCCTCCCTCCTTCCCTCTCTCCCTCTCCTCTGTATCTGTCTCTCTTTGCACAGCATGTGGCTTGAGAGCTGAAGACCTCCTCTGCAGGTGCAGCCTCTTCCTGCTTTCTTTTACCGTTTCCTCTGAAGATCACATTCATTCCAGCACTCATACATTCTCAAATACAAAAGTTTCTCTGAAGCCTGTTTAAATTCCCTTTAGCTTATTTTTTTTAATTCTTGGTCTTCTCTGCCTCTGTTTGAGTGTGTGTCATATCATTCATGCAGTCGCACAGTCAAGAGACCAGCGTACATGCAAACAGACACACACATGCACTCAGGTTTTAACCATGAATTTGCTTCTTCTAATAATTCACGCCGTGGAGTTCCTTGCATCACTTTAACAAAAGTTTCCATCACTCTTAATGGAACATTTAAAAGGAGCTCTTCTGTGCATCTTTGTTGGACTGTAGCAATCCCTTCACTCACACAATTGTCTCACAACACAGCACCATCTATTGGGCCTGTAAATGTGGTGCAGCCGCTCCTGCAGATGACCTTCGCAGTGAGTTGAGTCCCGATTCATCCACCGCCCCGTCAGCCTCGGTATCGCATAGTAGGACACAAAGTCATCAGTTGTACAAATCAGGAGTCTTATTTTGAGATTATCATTTGTTTCTCTGCTGTGTTTAAAGGTGAAGATCAAAAGGGAGAATTTAATGTCAGATTTAACGTTAATAAAAGCTCTTCATGAACTCTTCAGACATGAAACAATAAAGCTTCTTTTCTGTGATCAGTTTTATTCTATGGCAGCATTTCCTTTTATGCATCATTTTATGTGTACAATATGATGTAAATTCAAAGATTGGACAGAATCAATATATTTGTGTATTTTAGATAATCATATTGAAAATATTGTCTATTCATTCACACAGTTCCAGATGATTTCCTCCCGGAGCAGAGCAGAAAAGGACTAAATTGATGTATATATTATGAAGTAGAGGACAAAGCAGAAATATCGACTTAGAAACAGGATTGTGGCAAAGAATTTTTTTTTTTCTTTTTGAGATCCAGAAAGCTGCCGTCGTTAAAGTCTCCTCCGTCTCTTTCTTTAATGGACGACTTGGAAACTCAACGGAGGAACTCAATGTTGTTCAAAGGCCACGCAGAGAGCCTCTCGGCCCGCTGGCTTCAGTTTGCTTGGACTTGCGACCCGGCGCCTGCATACATAAACACGGTTGAACGTTTGACCGATACGGGAGGGCTCTGCAGGAAGCTGGTGGATTCGCGTCTGTTTCTTACTAGTGTCTGGACGGACCCTCTCACCTCCCATCCCGTGACCCCTGTCCGAGATAACGCAAGGTCACGGCCGCGGAGGCCACTCCCCCCGCCTCGTCCTTGCAACCAATGAAAAGCTGCCGGCGGTGGCCTCCGCGCACGAGGCGAGGGAGGTGAATGTGGAACTGCGGTAGAAGTTGTTCAGTTACCTAAAAGACGTTGTTGAGGGTCGAGTGGAGCGCCGCGTGCAGGTTTTAAAACGCACATTTGGCATGTGAAAAAATGATAAGGAATCAGTGGAAGTGCAGCTGCTTGAAAGATAAAGATGTGGAAAATGCTGCTGGTTTCTGTCAAATAGACAAATGTTAAAAAAAACACCACTGTGGTATTTCTGCACGGAGGTGACCTCCCTCCACCAGCGCAATATGTATTTGTTTAAAACTGAGGTAATTAATTGACAGCTCCCTTCTCTCACTCGTACATTCATTTGAACCCTGAAGGTTGAACATTCACCAAGATGGAAGTTGGGAGACAAAGCCTCTTGTTGTTATCTGAGAAGGTGCCCTTATACAGTCAGATCTTTTTTTGCATCGATGGCTATTGGAGACAATGCAAGTCGTTGCGTACCTCTTCGGGCAGCGCTGCAGGGCCGGACCGCTGCTCAAACTGCTCTGCATCAGGGTCAGGAAGTGGGACATTTTTGTCCAGAGATGAGGCTCAGCAGGCGGACCACATTTTGGCTGGATGGAGTGGATTCTCCCCATCTCTGCCGCAATCAATCTGCAGAGAGAAAACATCTTCTGAGATGAGCCCGACCCACGCTGTTATTGCACAAACAACCATTATCAGAGGAGAAGCGACTCCCTTTCCATTTAGCGCTCTTATCTTGTTCTTCTTCTTCTTCTAAAAAAAAAAAGGGGGGGGGCCTTGTTGCATTCGTGACCTTTTGACTACTCGAGTGCTCGATCTCGAGGCATCTTAGCCGCGACACGAAGCTTTCTGGGTATTTCCCACACCGGCTATCGAGCGCGGCGAGGCTGATTGATGGAGGCTGATTGATGTGTATCGTGGCCCCGGCTGTTCAGCCTTGGCTGTGTTGTGTCCCACTGCCCTGTGGTGAGATAAATGGCGCTGTCCTGTTATCCCCAGGATAACAAATAAACCCGGGTGGGGGGGGGGGGGGGGGCACGGCTAAACAACATTGCTCAACATGAAATACGACTAAAACTATTTACAAAGAAAAACACCTGCATCAGCACAATCGAGCATTGATGATTTTAATTAATGGCAGCCTGCATATTGTATGCAACTGTGGTAACCGACATGCTTTTAAGTTTGAACTTTTTAAAACCAGCGGTGGGCCGTGAGGTCCAGCTAAGCTGTTCCAAAACAGTCAGTTTTAGTTTTAGAATTACATTTTCTTTCATGATTTTTTCTTTGCACAGCTCCCGTCTCTCCCTCTGTTGCTCTGATTCCGTCGTGACGTAGTCATGCATCTGTATTCATGTATCCGTTTTTGGTGAGCTTCACGTAACATTTTATTTCACTTACAGTGTTATGTGAATATGAGGTGATCACTTGAAACAAATAATAAATTGCAGCTGTTACGTCACAATGAGGTCATTATTTTATTTAACTGAAGTGAGAAGGTCCAGGTAGGAAATGAACGGCACGCCACTGTTTAAAACACATCTTGTGACATAATAAAGTTGTGTGAATGAATGTAACAATGCCGAACTTATTAACTGCGTTTGATTTGTCCACCTTTTTTAGTGTTTGATTATTTTTAAAACGCCACTAAATCCAATTTTCAAATGTTTTAATGTGAGCGAGACTCATTTTGGACATCTTCTAAACCAGTGGGAGACCAGGGCGAGAACAAAAAACAAAAAAAAAGCACATTGTGTCATCAAATCTACTCTGCAAAACACGTGGAAGGCTTTTCCGGCCTTCACCTGTAGATGGAGGGCTGCCGCAGCAGCTCGTCGTCCAGCACCGTTCCTCGGACAAACTCGTAGCAGACGCCGTTCTGGAAGCTGCAGTAGATCTGGGGACCACAGCCGTGGGCGTGGAACACCTGGAACATCTCCACCTCCCTGTCACGGTTCACGTAGAGCTCTGTCATTTTGCCGTACAGACGCACCAGAACACAACCGGGCTCCTGGAGCGACGCCACATAGCAGCCGATCAGCTGGTTGGTGATGCCTTCCGTGAATTTCTGGAGGGGAAGGAAAAGCAAAGAAAATGGATTCAAAAACAAATCACGAAAAAACGATCGAATTGACTGTCTTAACCTCCTCCTCCTGCTGGGTTTATGATTGTCTTTAGTTGTAATTTATTCAAGTGTTTTTTTGCGTCGTATTCTCACCTCTCCTTTCAGACCACTTCACTTCCTGCCTGATTAGTTTCACCTGTGACTTGTTAGCCCGCTCATCTGTTCTCGCTCCGTCAATTACTCTGACTGACAGGAACGTGTCCTACAGCTGCTGGAACATCTCAAACCGCAAAGTAGCTGGTCACTGTGGCAGTGCAAATGAGGTCAAATACAAATACCAATCTCTCTGAAATGAAAGGGAATAGAAGTATACAAAAAAAATGAAGTGAAATGTATTTCTGGTCTGACTGGTCTACATTTTACTGTTGAGAATCATTTGCTTATGCCATAATTATGCTCATTTGATAATTCAGACAAGGCAAAGGTAATGTTTCAGTTATAGTAATGTTATACATCATATAAATATAGCTAGATAATATTCAAGGACGGGTTGTAACTTTTATGTGCAGTTTCTTTTTAAAGACGCATAAAAGCTCACACATTTAAGCAGATTTTAAGCTGCAGAAAAGGTTAAATTCTCTTAAGCAGCTTGTGTTAACCACAGACATTACTTCAGGCGTGCAATCATAAACCCATTTAAAAACTGAGGTTTGGACTTCAATGGAACCGAACTAGAAGTGCAAAAATGCTTATTCACTTCAAGGTTTCAAGAGAATTACACAAACTACAACATCAACCCCGATGGGGTCTTAGCTGACGCTGCAGCCCCGTCTAGAAGGAATTATTAATAAAAGGAGTGAGAAATGAAACGGCCACAGGTACGTGCGGCAGCAAAGAGACTGCAGACAGCTGCAGCATGAACCTGTTGGGGTCAAAGACCAGCCTGTGCTGCAACAATACCGCAGTGCCCGCTGTTTGCCCGGGGGGAGGGCCCCGTGGGACATTTGGGGTCATTCATTCATTCATTTGTGGTTTTCTGAAGTGTGTCATTGTCTGCACACGGTCCTTCTCGTACCACGAGGCTCAGAAGGGCCGTGCTCACAGCGGCGTTTCATCTAGACGGAGAAGAATCGAACACGGCCACCTCGATGGGATCAAACATTTATATGAGGGGCCGCTGGGACACGTTTTAGGATACGTTTCATTTGATATATCAATCATTTATTTTCATCTGGAAAATAAAAACTGTCATTTTTGGAGATATAGAGATTAAAGTTACAGGAATTTTATCGAAACTGCTTTGATAAAAGTGCTGAAAGAAGCCATGCAAAAAAGTGCCTATATATTTTTCCTATAAAATACATAACTATTCATTTCATGTGAACCCTTTTCACATTCTCTCATTCATTTTCTCCTGTTTTTCTTTACTTTTTAATTTCATCTGAGGTTAAAGGGCACGATAAGCACCAGATTGCCTTGGGTTTCATCTATTGTTTGTTAAAAAACGAGAGCAAAGGTGAAACGCGAGATATGAAAAACTATTTTGAAAAAAGCATTCATGAGAGAGCGTTTAAAGCGCAGGTGTCGCAGGAACTATATGTCCTTCCAGTGCATAGTCTGTATATTCAGAGATGAACACAATGCATCAGTGGGTTTGAAGGGGAGCATCCTTTGTGTGCACTACTGGACCTGGTATAGATTGAGAGGTCACCCACCCGACGTGCTGTCACCTAACAAACATAAACCCTATTTCTCTGAAAGATTGGACCTTGTGTTTGCACATGGGACCAGAATGGGATTATCCGGTTGTGAACAGACCGCACACTACGCATCTGTTACCAGGGTTGACGTAACAAAAAACATCTTGTACAATTACCTTGGTTGCTGTGCTGGTTTCATACGTTGGACAAGGTCTCAACTTTCCATTTTGAAGCACATAGATGGAAATTTATTTTTGTTATTGTCAATGAATCCCGTGAAAAGGCCGGAACCGACAATGTGTTTGTCCGTCTCCAGGAAAAGTTTGCACTTTGATTTCTCGATTTCTTTTATCGGCCTTGTGTCGTGCTTGCAGAAAGGTACAGTATGTCGTGGTTGACATTGAGAAGTCATTGGTTAGTGTCAGGAATCAAAACTATCTGGTAATGGTGTGAAAGAATATGTTTTTTGTTTGTTTAAAGAAATACATAACTAACCTAAATGAACATTTATACTGCCATTACACATTACACTACAAACAGCAACAATGTTACGTAACAATCGGTCTCCTGGGTGAAAGTCCTGTCTTAAGTGGATCATTGTTGTCATGACACCTAACTGAAACACGTTATTTCACACGTTTTGACACTTATGGTATCAGAAGTTTGTTGATACATTTTCCTGACCAACTATTGTCCTTTGTCTTCTTGGAAACATTACTGAGGACAGATGAAAATAGAGCATTCTAACTATTTTCCAGCTGCAGATTTGGTGAGCTGGTAAACATTTAGAGCAGCTGGAGGGTGTGTGTGATCCATAGGATGGAAGCGGAAGTCCAGATCAATAAAACAAAGGAACATATGTTTTTGTTTCTTTTACGTCCATTTTTTCCGAAGAGACTGAAGTCAATCAATCAACCAACCAATGTGATGTGGTGTGACATGTTAACGTGACATTCAACCTCATTTGTGATGTCAGACAAAAATCCATAACATGTAAGTTTCTTTGTTTTATGAGTGAGGGATGCACTGAAGTACAAGTGAAAACGATAAAGAAAATATATCATTAATGGATTTCATTAACTCAAACACACCTACATAATAACAAGTACATTAACTGAGAAAATCTGCTAGCGCGTGGAGGTGGGGTCCTTTGTGAAACCAAAAGTAAGCGCTTGTTCTTACGTAACGTTTTTAAGGAATGTTGCATACAAAAGTATGTAAAGTTGCTTTTTTCTGACCTTAAACCAATAATTGTGATGCTCAACCCTCACCAAATGGATCGGCGTGTCGTGGGCGTTTGGCAGAGGAGGTGCGAGGCGTGAAACGTATTTAAGAGTTAGTTTGCTAAAAACGCATAAAGAAAAACTCAAGACACACGCGGTAACTTGCCTTCATCTGAATGTCCTTTGCTCTCCAGTGAGGACGGAGTCTGCTGAGGAGATCCAGGATTCCTCGGCGAGGTTCATGCTCATCTACTTGGAGGTCCACGTGGAGGAGCTGGTTCCCGGCGCCGGCAAACCGACGGTTCATTCTCAACAAAGCAGACGTGAGCTCTTGGATCCCCCCCCCCCCGCCCAAAGAGTTTGAGGTCTACAACCTGTTCAGAAACCTTTGGAGCAAAGTCCCACACTGTTGGAAGACCGTAAAAACATCCTCCAATGTTGGTTTGATCTTGAAAACGAGGCGAACAACAAAGTGTAACAAAACTCAAATGAGGTAGCGATGCTTGAACCACATGGAAAAAAAGCTCTCTGTTTGCTTTTGTCAGAACAATTGGTGAGCGGTGTGAGAGGAACGAGGGAGACGAGGAAGACGAGGGAGACGCCGGTCACTCAAATTGTCCACTTGTGTGTGCAGTGACTCAGCAGTCCAGCTGGCTTATCAGGGGCCAATGTTCCTATGGGCATCTTCGTCTTCACTCCTTTACACATTAACCACTGGTCCTGCGTCACGAACATGTAATGCTGAACAAGATTAAATGCACAAAAGTTTGTTCTTCAGTAAACTTACTCGTTCAACTAAGCAGAAAAATTCTTTCAATCCTGTAAATGATAAATAAAATCCTTTAAAATAAAAATATTCTGAAAGACGCATTTTTGGTTATTTTTGTCCGTAAAAGTTTTAGAATACTATTAGTTAACAACACAAATGATTATTGTCCACTTTTCATATTCAAATCATATTCAAGCTGTTTATTTGGTCAAAAAAATCTTGATTTACTGTGCACCTTATTATCTGAAAACAAAAGTCCATCCATCGTCAAACCGCTTATCCTACACACAGGGTCGCGGGGGGGCTGGAGTCCATCCCAGCCAACTTCGGGCGATAGACGGGGTACACCCTGGATTGGTCGCCAGCCAATCGCAGGGCTACACAGAGACACACAACCATTCTCACTCACTGAAAACAAAAGTGCTATCGATAAATACTGAGAACTATTCAATCATTTTTCAAAGACCTTTAAATATATTTCATCATATACTTAGTTAGTTACCAAAACCAACACTGCTCCTGAGATTTTGTGTTGATTTTGGCCGTCCCTGTGAATGAACATGTGTTTCTCAACACCAGATTTCATTTAGAAAAACCTTTCATTTGTACTGCTGCAGGGTCAGACAGTTTTCACCCCCCAGGCCTGGTTCTGGTTCTCCCCTCCAACCGGTCCAGCAATGTGGCCTGGTCTTCGGCAGCGTTGGCATCCCGAGAAGCCATCGCGGTGGAACCAACATATGTCCCAACTTGCTTAGTTATGGTCGTGTTCACTCATCAAGGTCACTTAAGGTCATCAAATCGAGACGCCTCACAACCGGTTAAAAACTCCTGTTATTAACTCTCAATTTAAAAAAATCAACATTTTGTAGCGTGAATGGGAAGACAATTCATAAAGGCTGCGGATGGATCAACTTTTCATGACAGGGTGTCTGGTGATCCGTCAGTTCGCGCCGTCGGACACAAAGATGTTTGGACAGTTAAGTCCAAATCAGGCATGTTTTCTCCCCAGAAACTGAGCAGTCAGTTTCAGCACAGCTCTGTGATGACAATAATGTTCAGATGCATTACATTTGCACTAGCAAAAGACTTTGAGTCCATCGTCCGACCCCCAGTCGCTGTAATCTAGAGGACCCATTTAAACGTCATAGAATCAGTGAATTGAAACATGGCCTTCCAAGCGAGCGCAATGCCATGGAACATTTCAGCACGATCACTCTATAAACACAAAAACGCATTTCATAAACATTGGAGCAGCATGTTTTCAGTCTGTTAAATTATTTAGATGTTGGGCCAATGTTTACCATTTTGCATCATTACAGTAATTGCCTAGAAGTCACGAATGTGGCGATCACGTCGAACCAAATACTTAGTAAGCTTTTAGACGAAAATGAAATTCACTCGCCTTCAAAGGGAGTCTCAAAATCAAAGAAGAGATGCTGTGTATTGAAAGAGAGATGAGTGTCTTGATTAAAAATGCAAGGGTCAGTGTTTGTTTCACCGTGTGTTCCTCTGAAGTACAGCTGAGCGAGGGGGCCGGTCGAAAAAGAGATGATGGGCATTCATTTACCGTTATGACGCTCTTAAGACGGACTCGCTTACTGTATGCGTGGCTCCTCTTCCTCTCTCGAGTCTCCTGATTGTTGGAGAATACAGGCATTAACATTTGGGCCTTTGAGCCTTGAAGATTAATGATTTATGAAAGGATCAACAGAGTGTTGAAGACCGCATGAAAGAAACCCAAAAACTGAGTTACGGTTGCCGAGTCTTTTTCGCTCAAGTTGTTTAAGCAATGGAACCACTTGCTATATGTATTCAACTAAATGCAGGAACAAAAAAGTGGAGAATGAGATATTTTGTTGATTTAAGGATCATATGGCTTCACTTTTCCTTCTGGAAACTGCACCATAGTACTTTCTAAGATTTCTGCATCAGTTTCATGGAGACGGTTCATTAAAAGCCACAAACGTGGACCTCATGCTGACACTATGGAGGACGAGTCGGGGGATCATCGCATTCATTCATTCATTCAGGATTCATCCTCTGTACAGAATAATAAAATGTCATAATGATCGATCCAAAAGAATGTTTTTTACTGAATAAGTGATTATTACAGACATTAATCAGCCGCAGATTTATTATTTGAGCATTTGAATTAATGACTGCTTTTTGGATGTAAAGATAATTTGAACAAAATGAAAATAACTAGATTTAGCTTTAATGTTTGGATTGTGAAACAGGGAAGGTAAATTTTTTTTATTCAGGCAAAGTAAAAAAGAAAGTGAAGAAAACAGTCAAAAATCTATAATTCCTCTATTCTATTAGCTGAGATTGAGTTCTGTGCTGTGGGTGTGTCCAACATGCAGCCACTATGGGGCAGGACAGTGCATGGGGGGGTGACCTTGATTTTTCAAAACCAAGAACGCAAAGTATTATTTGATCAATTCAACAATAGCAGACTTAACATGTTGGGAATTGTTCAAATATCTTTTGGTAAAAGCTTTTGAAATGTTCGAAAGAACAGAAAAAGCTAAAACCATTATCATCGACAAAGACTTTCTGATGGAATGACATATTTTTAAACGCTGAAGAGGAAGATGATGTATTGTAGACTTCTTTTCAACGGTTGAATTAATGATATCGATGAAATATTAAAAGCACTTTAATAAGCGTATGAGAAGCCGTTTGTACTGTTGATTGACCCGCTGAAAAAAAAGATACAAAGTACAAAAATGCAAATTTTGCATTTGAGAGAATTTTCGAGAAAATTCTACCTGCTGCTAAGAGAACATTTTCATAATTCTTTACATCAAACCACTTCAGTTATTCTCCTAACAAATGTATTTGTCCTTCACGGCGCAACGCTTGCAGCACAAAACGCCGCGTCTTCTTTCTTCCCCCGGCTCCTTCCTGTCTTTCAGAAGTTTTTGAAAAGAGAAAATTCCCTTTCATTACAAGGCAAACAGTTGTTAGTGTCCTTTATCAGACATCTCTTAGAAGAGAAAAAGAGAGGGAGAGCCAGGCAGACATTTAACCTTTTTATATAGTCACACAATTGGGGTTCTCAAGGCTTTCATTTGTGAAGTTCCTGTTGAAAAATCAGGGAGCTCGGACTCATTACGTTTACCGTTACAGTATATTTATATTTCAGCTCCAATCAAAGCCAGCCAATATGCCATCCCTATGTATTTTCTCCTCTGAGCCCTGCCTCCCCACTATAATTTCCACCGACATTTTGTGTGCAAATGCAGTAATAGACACATTTATCACATCAAAAAGGGATTCAATTTTCTTTTCAATCATCCACCGGTATGAATAGCACCACATCCTCTGCGGCCAACAATGAGGGGCCATTACCGAGAGCCAAAGGACGGCTTCGCCTGCGCTACGCATTCAGGGGGAAAAGTGTGTCAAACTGTTTGCTGATGCCAACGTTTGTTCTAGGGAAATGGAGACAGCTTTCAGACAGGTTAGTACCCAATTTTATTGTCAGACAAATGTCATTTTTGTTTGGGGCCGCGGTAATCATTGGGCCCAGACGCCGGTGTTCCTCGACAGTAAAGCCTGCAGTTAGTCCATTTAATACTCTAATTCTCATGTCAGTAACAGATTTCCAAGTCCAGACATGACACCCGCTGTCTCCTCATTACGCGAAGGGGGTGACACGCGGGATTCAGGCCTCGGCCCTCCGCAGAGTGCGTTGATTACCCGAGGCATTGATGATCTACAAGAAGAAAAAGGGGAAGAAAAAGATTTTCCGCTGCAGTTATTTATTCCGTTGCACAGACAAGAGATGTGGACGGGGTATCTGCCGTCGGAGCTCTGTGCCGGTAGCCGTCGTGCTTGCCTTACGTCATTTAACTCATGTTAACTGCTGCTCTTCAGGCCTGTGCTCAACTGGGCGGCGTGGCTGTTTAATTCTATAGTTTGTTTTTTCCCATTTTGCCAAGAAGGAATAATAACCCAAATGCAACATACTTTGTTATACCACTGCATATGATTCATACGGAACAATGTATTCATGAACCTATGTTGTCAGAGACAGTATTATGAAGTCCTGTACAAGTTGAATCAAGATCAGATATATTCAAAGTATCACTTTAACAAGCTGGAGAAAATGACGTTTTATTTGATCTATGGATTTTAAAAAAGGATAAAGGACCAATCCGATCCTGGCCGTGGAGGTTTTGCTAAATTGTTAGATTATTAAAAAAAAGGGGATCTTTATGTTAATCATAGCTTTTATCTAAACGTTCCCAAGGATTCACAAGAATTCAAAACACAGTTATTCACACAAAGAATAATTTCAAAGACAAGTTATGTTTGACTGTCCAACACCACATCACCAAGTAGTGATAAATATTGTTTTTCATCAGATTAAGTCACGCGGTATACATAGTACACATATTTGGAATATATAATATATAAAAAAATGTATGTAATATGCATACATTCAGTTATGATTTGCAATGGAAGGCTGAGACAAGTGAGGATAAACAGCAGTTTTTTATCTCATTTCTGCCAAACGAGGCATAAAAAATATTTACAGCAGTAATTTGTCTTTCTCATTTTGTCGTGGTTGTCATGTTTTGTATTTTGTCTCATTTAGTTGGTGTGTTCATCGGAATTACTTTACCAAACACAATTTTCCCTTAACTTTAACGTTAACTTTAAAATAATACAAGCACTAAGATCAGAGTTCTATATTAGGATGGTTATAGAATACTATTTATGCCTTTTTTAAACGCAATTTTGGCTGATTATTCTTTGATTACATTTCGTTGATTGCGTCAATTATTTTTTTTGGTTGGTGGGCATCGGAAAAGAAAAGATTCCGATAATTACATTATTATTATTAATACATTGTGGATTGTGCATTTCAGCCACACTGT